GCCCCAACAGCATTTGTTATTGATTGACCTCTTGATGATAGCCATCCTTTCTGGGGATGAGATAGAATCTCAGTGTTGTTTTAATTTGCACTTCTCAAATGACCGGTAATGTTGAACATTTTTCATGTATTTTGCCATTTGTATTTCTTCATCTAAGAAGTATATCTGCACTTTTTGAGTCCTTGGCACACAGAAGGGACTCAGTCCGTTGCTATTTCCCTCTCCCCCATCTTAGTATTTCTCCCCAGAGTCAACTCTCAGAGTCAACATGAGCCTTCTGCAGTGCTGTGGCAGGAACCAAAATTGAGGAGCCCCACAGGAAGCTTTGCAACAGGGCGCGTATTGAGCCTCTGCAGGGCAAGTACTTCTAGGAATAGGGCACAGTGCCATTTCTGCAAAAAGAAAGAGACTAGTTGGAAAATGGAGGCAGTTCCCATCATCCAAAGATCCCCTCAAACTGGGTTCATTTCTACCATGATTTAGGAAATAGTTTAAAACAGACCAAAAGGGGTTAGAGGAAATGAAGTCCCTTGGTGTCAGTCTGAGGGATGTGAGCAGATGAGAAAAGGCGTGGTCCATTCCCAGGGTTTGGGGACAAGGAAGTAGGGGACAGGAGCTCAGTATCAGGGCCTTCTATGAATCACAAGGGGCGTAAGCACCAGCTTTGGATGTTGTCGGTAAGAGTCATCAGCGGAGCGACATCGTTCTCTTTAATCTTTAATGATTCCTGACCAGGCCTTAGCAGACTAGGAGCTCAGGGCAATGACCTCACTATAGACCACACAGCACTGCCAAGGTGACAGGAGGCTCCAGATTCCTACAGATTCAGCTGCCAGATATATCCTTTCTGAAATGCCGCCTGATGGACGGGGTTCCCTGTGGAACTCAGCATCCCCTCCACTGCCTCCCAGCAGGTCTCTGCAGACTGTCAAAACACCAGCTGGTCCTACTCAGCTGCTAAGTCTAGGAAAGGAAAGAGCCCAGGAGTTCCATGGACATAGCTTTGAGGGTTTTTTTTCCCCCCATCATCTCAGGGTTCAATATTTAGAGCAATATTGATTCGATTTATCTAGCGTTGTAATGTTCCATTGGTTGCTAAGCAACGGAGTTCTTTCTTCTCTGTGTTCTGGGTGGCTCATGGGAGTTTGACTACCAGAGAGATTACTTTGTGTATATGAAACTAAATGGACCATAGGTGCCATACTTAAGTGGAGGAATACCATTTTACTGGGCAGCGTTAAGACCAGGTTTCCTATCACATCTCAGTAATTACAATTCAACCTCTAGAACAACTGAGCCATTCATATTCACATTCCCCTCCAAGATACCCACTGAGAACAATTTAACACAAAGTTGTGCTGATGCACAAAACTCTGTGTTGTATGCTTGCTCTTCCATTCTCATAAAGTTCAGACCTGCACTGGGACAAGGGTGGATTTATTCCTCCTAATGCCAGTCTCCTTCAAACCCCATATTCATAGCCAAAAATAGCAGCATGGATTATTACAAAAGAAACTCCCCCTTGCCCTTAAATCTTAGTATGGCAGGATCCTTATTCATTTCCCTGACCCATTTCACTCCCCCAATGGACCCCCCAAATTGCCTACCATTTTTGAACTTCTCCTGTAAGTCTTTTACATTGACATTCACTGTTTCTTTAAAATCCCAAGTCAGAAACAGCAGGCAAATGAAGTACTGTCAGCTCAAGCTATATGGTTCAGTGACTTGGCATTGATGACGTTTATTTTGGAACCCGCATGGTAGCCTGACCTATTTTAGGATCTCTGCTTTCACCATACCACCCTCCCTGGTTTTTCCAATTAGAAATGAAGGCAAAAGGAAATGTGGGAGGCTGGGGAAGGGGAGGAAAGATCTTGGACCTCAGTTCTCCTGGAATTGCAAGCAAAGCTTCCAAGTCAACTGTAACATTTAAACTACTGTCATAAAATTGTAAGCCCTACTGGAAAGGCAGAAACCCAGGGCTATGTCCACAAAAATGGGTAAAAACTCCAGAAACAGTGCTTTGCCCCAGTTTTCTGGGTGTGGCCACAGGAAATCCACAAACCAGAGGCCACATTTGGTATTGTTTTCCTCTATGGGAAGACTTACTCAGGAGAGAAATGATCTTGTGCTTCTAGAGAGAAAAGATATCTTAAAGAGAGAGGGGAGGGAGAAGCCAGTGTAGGCAAGTAGCCAACCACGCACATTTGTGGAGTGTAAGAATGTAAAACAGATGTTGTGCAGGAATATAAACCATTACCCAGGGAGCACCACCATCAGCCTCTGGAGAACAGGGTTTCTCGCATTCAGCAGTAAGTCATGGAATGTTGCATAGTCATCATAACCAGCCCTAAGGAATGGCCCTCCTGGGTTGTCTGTCTGGTGCTTTGCCTTCACATCTTTTTCATGGCTATGAAGTATCCTCCACTGCACTGAATAGATGTTATTCTGTCTCATTGCCTATGAGACAATCAGTAATGTTCTTGTCCACTCCAGAGATTTTTTGCTTTGCAAAAGCAGCAGACCAGGCACTCCAAGAAGGAAAGGGTGGCTTTGTAAATCCTTTCCTAGTAACCTGGAGGAATTTGTTTTATGACAATAGGAAATACATGATAGCAAAAGAACCAAACCCATTGTATTGGCTCATTTTCTATTGCTGTAACAAAATATGTGAAGTGGAACACTTTGTAAAGAAAAGAGGCTTATTTAGCTCACAGTCTCAGAGACTGAAAGTCCAAAATTGGGTGACATCATCTGTTTGACCACTGGAGAAAGTTCCTCTGGTTATCTCACAACAAACAGAGCAATGGCTCTGGGCAGGAAGAACAAAGCTTATAGGATGACCACACTTTATAGTAATCCATTTTGGTGAGAGCTAGGCCATTGCACAAGACAAAGATCAATCCCTTCTGAGTGGGGTACTCTCCGTAGTCTTATCAGCCTCCACTGACCCTCATAGTTTAAAGGTTCCATCCCCTTTGCAATACTCCCAATTGGAGACCAAACTTCTAGCACATGAATCTTGGGGTGGGGGTAGGTGGACACTGAAATTACATCCAAACCATAGCAGCCTTCATGAAGTACATGATAAGATCAAGGTGAATGGGCGCACCTTCCATGGTAGCTGCTGCCATGGGCACCTCGCAAGCGGTGACTAAGAAGACTCTTCACAGTTGTGAGTGTAGTTCAGGAATTCAGTGTTTTCGAAAGGCCCTGAGTTCATCCATAGAATATTCTATGCTCAGACCAACTGGAACTGGTCAAAGGAAAGAAAGGAATTTAGAAGATATAGGACAGGATGCCAGCACTTTGTGGCATAGAAGGTTAAAGAATGACTATCTACTCCACCAGATCATGGCTTAGGAAGAAAGCCCATTAAAGGGGAGAGGATCCAACTGTATTTAAGGTTCCCCAAAACATAAAGGGGCAAGGCAAGTTACAAGCAGAGAGTAAAATGAAGAATCAACAGTCCATTGTGGTAAGTCACTAAAATTGAATGTAGTGATGACTGCGATTTCCCAAGAACTGAGCCCACAGGGCTGGGGAGATAGCTTGGCAGCATAAGCGCCTGCCTGGCAAGCACAAGGTCCTGAATTCAATCCCCTATGCCACATGCAGTGTCAGCCCGAGAAGCAGGCGTGGTGGCACATGCCTGCAATCCCAGCACTGAGGAGGCTGACGCAGGTGGATCGCTAGGAGTCCAAACTGCATAGCAAGCCCCTGTATCGAAATAATTAAAAACAAAACAAAGCAACAACAACAAAAGCTGAACCCACAGACAAGGTCTTCTAATCATTTATTTAAACCCACCATTTCTAGGATCTATGGAATATATTGACATAATCAGCAATAGCCCTTTCTCTAAGCATCTTCTTTGCCCTTTCTGTGTCTTCTTGTAGAATTTCACATGGCAGATAGGCGCTGTAATATTTTGAGCCCCAAAATATTTTGCAGAAAACTGAGCTCAAAATATCAGCTTGTCAGCCATTGTCTTAAGTTATTAGCTTGTCTGGTAAAGGCTTTGCAGAAACTGGGTTGGAAATTTAGCCAGGAAGACATTTTCTCCTTCCCCTATGTATTTCCTTTCTTGACTCAGTGTATTTTCCTAGGACCGTGATTCACATATTTATAATTAGAACAGAAAAGGGGGAGAAGGAGGTGATACCTTTTCTTTCCCCATTCCTGCAAAGTTTTAGCTTCTGGGGTCTCGATTAACAGTGTTATATATTGAGAGCCTGCTGGGACTACAGAAAAGGAAAAGGAAGACGAGGAGGAGGAGGAGGAGGAGGTGAGCATCAAAGAAGCAGGAATTTACTGCAACTAGATTTCCACTGTCCAGACTCAAAAGGACATGGACACTGAAATTGCTTGCTCCTACCTACATCTAATCATACATGAGAAGATACCTTTTTTACAAGTGTAATCAGACTGAACAGAGGAATATGTGCCTTTAATTAATTAGGGTAAATTAATTCCCTTATGAAATATACCAATCAAGCCAGAAAAAAAGAAAAAACCTAAAGGTAAAAAGCATTGATGTGACAATTAAGACAAGTGATCAGAAGGATTTCAGTTTATGGAAACTTAAGGCTTGTGTCTACATACACAGATGGCTTTTAAAGATATCCACGCTTCCAACGGCTGGATCTCAACCAACCAGTTAGTAACTGCTTGGTTGCTTGACTGAATTCAGCTGATTTGAAAATAACCTACATGCTGCCTAGCATCATCAATTTTTTTGAACCCACTTGTTGGATGCTATCTTCACAAGTCTGCGTGAGCGTGAACAGTGCAAGAAAGGAGGATTACAGGTTTTTTATTTTGTTTTGTGGGGATTTTTTTGGTGGCCTGGTGTTCTTTATTGCCTGTCACTCGGGCTGAGGGGGAGCCAACACGCTCCTTCCAAAACCTGGGACCGGGCCACGGGGACTCAGCTGAATGCCCAAGTGTGCATGGTGCTCGGAAGGCTTCGAGGGCCCGCTTGGTCCAGGAGAACCCGACTCACATGGTCCAGTGTGCGTACAGCAGGGCCAGGAGGAAGAAGATGGCCACCGAGAGCAGCATCTCCTTCTGGTTCTCCTGCCAAAGCAACTTCAGCTCCTTCTCATAGTTGGAAGCTCTGTTCATTACACTGTTTCTCTCCTTCTCCAGAGACCTGCTGTCCTCGGGGCTCAGCTCTGCTCTGAGGAGCCAGCAGCTCACGGCCTCCAGGTCCCACTGGCCCTGGGACAGCTTCTCCTCCAGCCCATTGATCTCTAGAGCGACGCCCAGATTCTCCCACTTCTTTTTAGTCATGTTGCTTGCCAGGATCCCCTTTTTTTTATTTTTTATTTTTTATTTTTTTTATTACAGGTTGAAGCTAAGCAAAGGAAATTGGCTGAAGAAGAGAATTAACAGCAAGTCCAGTCAGGAAACAAATGAAGGACGCTGGCTGACAGCTGACTCCACTTTAAGATAATCACTGAATTTGATGGAACTGACAAAGAAAAAACCAGGCAATTCTGGAAAATTCCATCCTAAAAGCTATCAAAGGAACAAAGCTTTTCCCAGGCACCAGAGTGCAGGGGCAACCCTGGAAAACAGGAAGTAACCCACTAGGCAATTGGAACTCTCTGAGTGGGTATTTGGAGAGGTGAGGTGATTGGTCAATCCCATGGCAGGGCTCTTCTCCACGTAGAATGTCATTTCTATTTTCATAATCCAGAAGTTTTCAGCAACAGCACCCTTGATGTACTGTTCCTCTGACCGTTAGTTACTTCAAGAAGGATGGAGAGGTCCACTGAGAGCTGGCTGCTTATTCTAAACAGCTGGAATGGAGTTGCAGCAACAGAAATGTAGACATCCATTTCTAGCACCTCACAATAGGAATACAGCTCCCCAGAAAGGCAAGGGGGCTAATTCCTTGCTAATTAGTCCAAGAAGCTTTGGATAAAACCCCCAGGAGCTCCTTATCCCAAAATATCACTTGTCAAATGAGTACATGAGCCCACAGAGGTACTCTGGAAGAGATGGATCGGTGGTGGCAAATCCTAAATCTCCTACGGGGTATCCCTTGACAGGCTGCTCTTATGATTTAGGGTGCCATCAGTGGCCTGGTTTGATTCATCACATAGTGATTTATCTTTCCCAACAAGGTCTGGTTCCTGTTTTGTAACATCCCTCCATCCTTCTCTTTTGAAGAGAGAAACGGGAATGAAAGCCAAGCTTTGGAACACAAGTCTAGATTTTTACCTTCAGAGTTAACTGCAGTAAGAGGAGGAGGAGAGAGGACAGAGGGTAGATTTCAGGGGACCAAACAACAGTCATTTACATCAAATATGTCACTATTATATCTCATATTGCTCTGCATACCATGCAAAGCCATGACAACGTATGAACTAATGAATGCATTTTTCTACCCGAACATTGATTATTTTAAGGTAAAACTTGGTTTTTCTGAAGGAAAATTATATTTTAACTCCTAACTATATGGATATATTAATACATTGAAACTTACATTTCTATCTCATAAGTAATATTCTAAATTTTGTCATGTATTCTTAGTTTAGGAATTCCTGTTATAAGTCCTTATAATATTATAAATCCTTTTGTCATGTATATTCTATTTGGTCTGTTATAAGTCCTGTATCTTTATAATATTTTAGCACTATTGCAGAATACCCCTATTATAGAAGAAATGTACATACATTAAAGTTAATCAAGAAAAAATTTTTAAAAAAGAAAAATTTTACACTAATATAGATAACCCTACTTGATATTTGTTCTCTTGTGGTGAAACTGATTTTTTTCTACCTAGATATTTGCATAATTTTATATGCTTTCATTCTTAGAATTTAAGAGAATGAACATGTATGTTTCTTACCACTAATACAATTTGTCATTTTAATCTTTAAACTAAGATGGTTATACTTCAGAAACACATAAAGTCCTTCAAAATATTTTCAAGATGTATTAGATCTTTTTCTCTTTGTTGTTGTTTCATACCCCCCCCAAAAAACACTATTATTTTTAAATTTTATCTTTATTTTATATCCTTCAAGTCTGCTTAATCCTTCTGGTTTTTATTTTTTATTTACTCTTTTTTTTTTCTTTCTTTCTTTTTTTCCAGAACCAGTGATTGAACTCAGGCTCTTGCACTTGCCAGGGAAGCACTTATTCCACCGAGCCATCTCCGTGGCCCCTTTATTTATCCTTTTAAAATGTATTTGGCATCGCTTCTCGGTCTTTTGGCAAAGATCAAGTGTAAAATGTATTTGGCACAGGGTCTCACTACACAGCTCAAACTTGTAGTGATCCTCCTGTTCTCAGCATCCCCAGTGCTGGGATTATGGCATGTGCCACAATACCCAGTCTCGGTGGCCAGCTCAGCACATCTAGCGGGTGGGGCTGGCAAGGCATGTGGTGCCCAGGATTGAACCCACTCTCTGTGCTTGCCTAAGCAGGCACTTATTCCACTGAGCTATCTCACCAGCCCTGCTCTGGTTTTTATTAATCATTTCTTTCTTCCTGACTCTGGGAGACCATCTCAAGTTTGTCCTCCACATCACTGTGAATTTTAGTACTGATACTATTCATCAATTTCCTTAATCCTATCTGTTAACTTTTCATTCTTTCTCTTTATCTGATTTTGTTGAATCTTAATCTCATGACATTGGACTCTTCACCTCTTCTATTTCCTCCTTATTGTTTTCATTGTTTATGGAGGCCATATCTTCTTGCAATTAAGGTAATCATCAAACTATTTTCTAAAAGGTTTTTTTTGCTCTTGCAGTAAAGATTTCCAAAACTGTTTCTCCACTCATGACACCAATACTCCCTTTTCCTTACTTTAAAGCATTTTCCCACCTAACCTATGTTAATTTTTCTTTAATGCTCTTCCTTGAAAATAGGAGATCACACCTATATTTAGAGTTTCTCAGCAGATGTAGTGTGAACCTCCTTTGACTCTACTCCCAAGCCTCCTAAGCCCCTTTCCGTGATCTAATCCTAAAGAAACACTGGTTTAGCATAACTTCCCACTCATTTTCTGGGATCTTGCATGCATCCATTTCATCTTAACTTTTCATTTTGTCACATTCTCAAAGCTTTGTCCTCTGATATTGAGAAACAATACCATCTGTGTTTATTGGACAGGACTTGACTGAAATTCAATGAGACCAAAGAGTTTATACTGGCTCAAATAAAATAATCATGTCTTTCCAGTTCAACATTTCCTGAATTACCTACCACTTTCCTCTACTCAGTAATTCAGAGGCTTAGGCTCACTACATGTCCAACCAGAAGATGGAGAAAAGGAAAGAAAACAAGGAAGAGGGACAGAATCTGCTTACAAGTCTTGGCCTAGAACTAGCACAATTCATATCTTTTCATATTTACTGCAGACAACTAATTCACAACTGTATATAGCTGCAAGGGAAGCTAGGAAATGCAGTTAGTTGTGGATTCAGAGAGGAAAAACTAACAGCACTGTTTTTGTTGAACAAGAGTGCCACAACCTTGGAGACTAGAATCCTTGGTATGTACTGCTTTGCAGATCACCTGATTCACATTGTCAACATTGCAATGACAACCTTCATTTTCTTGATTGTAGTAGATATAACACTGGGATTCATCTACCCACTACTTCTCTAACTCTTCCTCCTTCTGGCTATTTTGAATGAGACAATCAATCCATTATAGCCACACCCACTGACATGTAAACCCTATAACCAAGCCAGACAGCTTAGACCACACTAATAATTAATCGAGGAAAGCAATAGAAACTAATTCTGACTTATCAATAAAAGCTTTTACATTTCCTCTCCTTGATCTAATCCTAAAGAAACACTGGTTTAGCATAACTTCCCACTCATTTGGGAAGATATGGCCTCCTTCTCAAGAAGTAAAATAAAGCAGGTCAATGTACTGATAGTTCTACATTCTCAAATTGTGGTCCTTGAGCCAGTAGGATCAGTAATACCTGTGTACTTGTTAGAAGTACAAAATTTAGGGATTTATTCTACACTGCTGAATCATAAACTCTGGAAATAAACCATAGCAATATGCATTTTAACAAATTTCCAGGTGATCTATGATGCATTAAAATTACAGAATCACTATTCTAACCAAGGTGTATCTGTGACTTATGCCACAGGAAGTCCCCTTATGCTACCTGCTAACCATTCATTTCATTCACAAGCAAAATATACACAGAGACTGTCTGAAATTCTGATCTCACAAAATTAAAAGTATTGAATGATAGCAGTAAAGCTCAAAGCTTTAGTCTGACCTTTTAGGAAACCTTAAAATATTGTTAAATAGGATTGTTCACAATTTTTTGCCTGTTTTTTTTTTCCTTTGAGGTTAGATATCTAATGCCCTAAACTAAATTAAAATGGCCATTGGAAATAAACACAGTTATAAAATATATGATAGGATGGGACTTCAGAGAGCATCAAACTTATACATCGATTTTATTTGATTATTATTTTTGGTACTGGGAATCAAACTCAGGACCTTGCACTTGCCAGGCAGTCACTGTGCTGCTGAGCAACAGCTTGGCTCCTACCCACCCATTTTAGAATTTGGAAAATTAAGGTCAAGGTTTAGTAAATAATTCTTTCAAAGCCCCACTTCTGATTGGAGGAAGAGCCAGGAGGGACTCAAGTTCCCTGATTCCTAACCCAATCCTATTTCTACTAACATCACTATGATCATCAATGTTTGTGAAGTCCTCTGAAATATACAAAGTGCAAAGTGGTTGCAGAATAATAATATTGAATTGGGTCCCAATAATTTGAATTGCAAAACCAACAGATCCAAACTTAAGCATGTATACAATTTTGTTCACTAGGCCCTGTCCAAATACAAGTGACAAATGAAGGAAACATGTTGCCCTAGAGTTGTAGAATGCTTTGGAACATCGATGTTGATATTGTGGAGTGGAATGAGAATGTACAGGGTGGCAGTCTCTGATATCTCCTTTTTATGTTTTCCTCTAAAACACTGTGGTGTCACAGAAATCTAGAGATATCTTGAGTAACTGTAAAGCAATGGACCTGAAGAGAGAAAAATGCTTTATGGGTTTCATATACCTCATTTCTCAAAATAGCATCTTGAATGTGGGTAGGAAGCACTTGGCTCCTTTCTCCATTGTTACAAAGGCAACAAGAAAAGCAGTCATCAGGGATACTGTTGATGCAACAGAAAAGAAAAGTAATAGCACCTACGGTTGATAAAATATTCCTGTTGCTTCCCTCTGCCTCAGCCCAAAAGTCAATACCCTTTTGGATGCCTCAGCTCGCAGGAGCCACAGGCTGAGCTGGTCAG